CACTTTGTTTAGTAAAATGTCCCATTTTGGTGCTTTATAGGTGATGGATGCTAAATTCTTAGAGCAGGCAAGAGTTCTGAGTGGCTAGCTAGCCCAGTGTGTTCCATGAGAATACTCTTACTGTTAGATTTGAGTCTGGAGTTACCAGTTCAGTTCTTCACATTTTGGTATATAGTTTTATGTTAAATGAGTCTACTGGTGTTTTCATATGCCAGTAGATTTCATTCTTAAGGCATAGAAAGCTGAAGTTAATCTTTAAAAAAAATATGTGTGTGTAAATACAAAAAGAAAGAGAGTGAATGAATATGCGTGGAGGGGTAGAGGGAATTTCTTAATTCTATTCAATTTAGATGTTGTGACCACCAGAAAACCTTAAAAAATCTCACTAGCGTGGGGCATTTATTTAACTTGGAGTTGAACAACATCATCTTACAACACTGCTCAATATTCTGTTCTTGGGCCAGCTCTCTGAAGCTAACAATGGCTTCATTTCCCTCACTATTTAAAGATTCCCTGATATGTTACCAATTGCAGATATTTGACAGACCTTTTTTGTGTGTATCAACTTACATTTTTCTTCTGGAGTCCAAGGAGAATTGTGAAGGAAAAACTGTAAACAAATGTATATTTTTCAAAATCCCCACAATGTCAGTGGTCTTACCTTTATAGGGCTTGAGGCTTGGCTGGTATGTATGTATATGTAAGTGCATACTGTTGAATCACATGACTGGTGAGGAATTTACTTTCGATTATTTTTCTTGACCTTATTCTCTTCTGTATGTGGCATCAGCTATAGGGGTCCATGACTTTGAAGTTCAAGCTTTTAAAAAGATATTCTATCTTTGCATTAACCTTGTTCTATGGGGGAGAAAAAAAAGTATGAAATGAAGAATTGTTTTAATACCTTTAGAGAATTGGAACTTATTTACTCTCAGATATTACTGGGATTATTGTCAAAGCTAGAGTTTAAAAGTCCCAATCATTTTTAATACATAGAAATACCTGGTAGTCCATGTTTTGAATATTAGTCCTTTTTCACATTTTTGCCTAATATGGAATAAAAAAATGTAAGGATTCAGCATGAAACATGTGCTTTGTCCACAAAAGAAGTATGTCATTTGAACTTGGCACTTGGTAGTAGATGGATTTTTAGTAGCTTAGTCACTCCAGGTACTTTTAGCATCTTTGAATGTTAAAGTATCTTTTACCTTTACCTGAGTTCCTAAGAGGTTCAAGTACCTGGGCCCAGCCAGGGAAAGGTCCTTTAAGGCAGTATGTTCTTTGCATATCCTTGCTTAGGGACTCTCTGGGAGCTGAGACTCCCAGAACTATACTGTAGATTTTTGAGAAAGAGTCCTCCCCATCCCTCAAGGCAGCCCAGGGGACAGGTTTCAGATTTGGAAAGTTTAGCAGCAAGGTCAGGGGAATGGATGCCTGGGCACTTCAAAAACAGCTCAAGTTCCTCTGTACCTTTGATGCTGGCCGGGGTTCTTGTTCATGAAGTTGAAGAATGAGCTTCACAAACACTCAAGGTAGGAGAGCAAGATACAGGCTTTTATTTAGAGATAAATTGAAAGGACAGAGCTCCTGCCTTACGCCAGGAGGGGACTAGAGAGTCCGTAGTGGTGCGTTGTCTAGGGGGTTTTATAGGCAGCTGAGGATTTTTCGAGAACATGAAAAAAGCTTAGGGGTGTGGACTTGTTAAGTGGTCCCTGAATATTTAGAATCAGTTTAACACAAGCAACTTCCTCTGATGATTTCTCTCTGAGATACCAGCATCTTGGTCTGGGGGCATATGAAACAAGGCCACCTGCTCAGCCCCCCAAGATGGGCTGAGGTATTGTTTGCTAAAAAGTAAGTTAAGAATTTTTAATGTCTTAACTTCTTGGGTATTAAAATACAATCTTGTCTTTAAGGTGGAATCCTTCCTGCTTTTTACTGTGTTGTTTATGCGTGGACTTACTTGCTAAATGAGTTGCCCAGTTTGCAAAATCACTTCATCATATGTGAAGGAGGAAAGACAGCACCTAGGCCTGGGCCTTTTAGTATGCTAAAGTGAGCCTTACACATGATTATAAATGGTTAGCATAATAAAACATGTGCTACTCTTCTTTATATGGGGAACATTAACTGATTTCTCTGAGGAATGATTCTAGAGCTAGGTGTTTAACAAAGTTTTAGCAGGGTTTTTTTTTTTTTTGTATGTAGTTACATTGCTCTGACTGCAAATATCCCGCCCTGCCCCCTCTGGAGGCCCTCACCTACTCTGACTACATTTACGGTCCCTGTCTCACCTTCTTACCAGTCTAATGTGCTATTATAAGTGTGTCTGGGGTAGTATGATTTTATGATACACGTTCAAGTTTGTAAACCACTGATAACCTTCACTTTCTTTTGCTCTTGGATTTTGACTAATCTAAAGCACTGGTCTCAAAGTGGGACACATGTATTGTAAGCCATTGGGAAACAGGAAGAAAACACTGGAGCTTCTATTTAAATTTTTTTAAAGTAAGTTTTATAATATGTTGTTACATGATATATTGTGTAGAGTATATTGTTAGAGTTTTGGTATAACAATTCATATACATAATTATAAATAAATTCACATATATTGGAGGGTACTTGGACAACCTTAGGCAAGCTTAAATGCTTTAAAATGTCTGTTTTTTTCACGTATAAAATGAGGATGTGACAATACCTATCTCACAAGGTTGATGTGAAGATGAGGTAAATTAGTACATATAAAGCATTACAACATATACAGACAGTGCTTGGCAGATGACAATCATTCAATAAATATTAGTACTATTACCATTACAATGGGTGAATGGGAGTGGGTTTTCCTATGCTATCTTTCAATATTGCTATAAGCTAGCATATCTAGCAGGAATAGTCAGTGGCTATTGATAAACTAAAATCTAAGAAATGAGATTCATTTTTTTTGTGTATGTATTTCAGTTCAAATGCAAGTATTTAAGAACACTTGCTCCCCAGTTGAAAGGTCTTTAGAGGTAGCCAGCTCCCAGCTCTGTAGATAAATACTCTTTTTATGGCTTTCCTTTCACATATATTCAATCACTATTTATCATTCAAACATCGTATTAACTGGGGGTTTGTCTATATGATCTGGCCTACCCTGGGCCAGTCTGAAGCTGTTGGAGAAGGGATGAAAAAAGTTGGATTGAGTCCAACTTGTATTTCAAGGGTACACACTTTTGAAGAAGAAATACTGGGAGATAAATAGTGTGCTCTTGTTGCAAATGAAATGATAAATGTCTGTGCTCTTGAAAAAGCCTCTACATTCAGCACTGGCTGTACACCGTACCTGTATTGTTTGTACCATAGCACCTCATTAAGACCAAACTGAGTTAATTATCAGGAAAACAGCGGGTTATTGCATTTAACACTGATTCTGATTATCTATTTGAATTTTTGTCCAATATACCAGAAGGCAAACTCCCAGAAGGTAAGGACCATGGCTAACCTGCATTCCTAGTACCTTGTATTCAAAGAGATACACGGAATTGACTAGTCACCATTGTCTGCAGTCACACAGCTAATAAGTGGGGGCCCTAGGATTTAAATCCACATCTGTCTTCACCTATTAGGTCATTTAATTTCACAGCCCTACAAGGAAGGACATTGTCTTCATTTCACACATTTGGAAACTTTTGGCAACAGCCATGACTTGTGCGAGATGCCGTTGGAAGCAAATGGTAGAAAGGCATTCAAAACCAGGAATGTCTGGTTACTTCTTCATTGGGCCTGCAAATCATTTGACCTTGTTAGTATGAAAATTTCTGTGTCTTAAATGGTTTTGTGTACAAATGCCATTTCAGACAAAAGTGAGTTAGGGATCTGGAATAGTCATGGTATGGGAATGTTACAATGCATTCTTAAAGTCCAAGAATAAAAAAGAAATCTTGCTTAGAGAAAACTTGTTTTAAAGTTTTTTGAAAGGCTGCTTAATATGCTTTCACATCTGTGTACATTTATTAGCTTTTTTCTGTATCGGTATTTTCCTTTTATGAACAATACTAGAATGATTAGTCCTGTTTTCTAGTATTTCATAGGAATAATTAGAATATTTAGAAACATTATGAAACCCTGCCAGCCACAAGCTGAATGGGCCTGCCTGTTTTATGTACTCTATTTGGTCTCCCTTCTGGCTTGTTCATTCTCCCAGAAAAGTTGTTGATCCTCCTTTTTTCCTACTGACATCAGCACCTGGCCAAGTGTGCTCATAGTAGGACTCAGTGCTAAGAATTACTTTCTTAGACAGGAAGATAATTCATTGCATGGGCAGAAAGGACAAGCACCCACCTCTGTTCTCATTGCACTGCCTAATAAAGTGCCTTCCACTCAGCAGCCTTCCTAATTCTGGATCCTCTTCCCTCTAACATCTTTTAATTCACTTAAGAACTGCAGAAACTAATCCCTTCTGCTAAGTGGCTTTTATCTCACAAAGACTACATAAAAGGGGGATGTTTGAAAGCAAGCTACTTTTCCCATGGTGGAATGAAGAATGGTAATTCTGAGGAGGTCATGGATGTAAAACATTATTATAGGGTGTTCAACAAAAATCACATGATCCTAGGCCTGCGGGTCCAGACACCTACTGAGTATTTCCTGTTTCTGCAGGTGGAGGTCGCATCCTACCCATCCAGGAGCAAGGGCAAATTTTCGGCAGCACCTGGCACAATAGGCATTCATATTTTTGACAAGTGATTAAAAGCAATTTCCCAGCAAGACTGCGGGGTTCAAATTCTGACTCCACCATTTATTAGTACTGTAATCTGAGAAGAAGGGTCAGTAGCAGTTTCGTGAAAATCAACCCACATAGGACAGTTCCCTTTTTGAAGGGGTCCTCCAGCGCAGCTACAGCACCCAGTCGGCATCATAGCCTTGTGGCCGGGCTCAAGCCCCGCCTCCTGCCCGTTCCCACGGTGCGCAAGCGCAGCCTGACTCGCCCTGCGCTCTCCCCAGGTTTGCGTGCTGGTTGTCGGCGGGAGATTGGGTCTCGCGATGTGCGTGCGCGGCCCTCGCGAGCTCGCGCACGCCGCCCCTCGCAGTACCGGCCTGTGGCGGCCTCCTCTTCTGGCGTCCAGGGCAGGACCCTGAGCGGGATCCGCGGCCGGGGCTGGGAGCCAGCGTCCGCTTCCTCGCCGACGCCCTCGCTGCCTGCCCCTTGGTCTAGGGCTCCTCTCTGCGCAGTGCAGAGGCGGCGGGCTGGGAAGGAATCGGCGCCCGCGTGAGGTTCCCAGCCGATGGGCAACCCCTGGGCGCGCTGAGGGGCCGGGCTACTAGCGGCTGAGGTCGGTGGGCGCGCAGGGCTGTCAGTCTGGCTGGGAGCAGAGTCGGGGCGGCGGGCGCTTGTGGGCAAGGAGGCCGCGAGAACGGGGGCCTAGCCAGTTGGACAGAAGAGGTCTTCGACCCGCGCCTGACCGGGGGGATTCTGGCCTAGCCTGGAGCGAGAGGAGGGGCCCCGGACGTAGTTGGCGCTTTCCTAGGCATGGAGCCATTATCCTCCTGTGGGGGAAAGGGGTCACCCTTCCTTTCCTTTGAGTGGGCAGAATCAGACGTCCTACCGCTCCCTTTAAATTGAAGCCTGCGGGCTTCGAGAAGAATGTCTAGATGGAGTGGCCTGCGGACCTCTACCGCTTGCAGAACTCCCGAGTGCACGGGGCTGTGAATTTTGATTATTGGAGGGTGGGAGGATACACAGCCCTTTCTCTAGTGTGGCCTTGTATTTCCTGCGAAGTTGTTACTGCTAATACACTAGTAATCGCTTTCGTGCACAACAGGTAATACACTTCCTAATGCCTCAAGTCAAGGCTTCTGCCACAGGGGAATCTGAGCCGTGGGGTACAATTAAAGAATAGAAGGAAGACAAAGAGGGCCGTTATTTGTTAACTTCCTAGTTATCAAAACTTTATGGTGGGGCTTGGTGGATGGCTACTTGCCTTTGCTGAAGAGACTTGCGTGATTAAGGTGGCTCACAAACGGACTTTAATTTAGAATTATAAAATAGTGTATGATCCTATGTAATTGTTACAAGCCAAATGACCGGAAATAAATCTCAGAGAATTATGTGATGTTTGATTGTTGGAAGAAAGCCCAACTTAGATTTCTTGAAAGGAAGATTTTCTCCATGTTTAGAAAGCTTCAAGAAAGCTTTGTGTGTGAAGTTCTAAAGATAAAATTCTTTATGTTGGTAGTAATAACTGTCACATTCAAGAGAAGGGCAAGAAGTTATTTCATAAAACGGCTTACCAAAAGACTTTAGGAGTTAAACACAGTAAACCTAAAGGAATGGCAAGTTTAGCTTATGCTTTAGAAATTCTCATTTAGTCATAGTTAAAATACATAGAAGCTTTTAGTTGACTCTTGTGTATTCAGTGAACCATTAAAAAATATAATAAATCTTTGGTAGGCTACAGAGTCTGTTCTGTAACTCTTGATTTTTATTTAGAACACACTTTCCAGAAATGTAGTATTCATGGCCTGCATACTTTGAATGAATTCTCTACCATATTACAGTATGGGAAGAGTTAAGAAACAACAGTTAACTGGCAAGCCCCTAGTAGGAGTAGGGAGGCATTATTAATGCTTAAATATGTAAATACTGCGTACATAAATATGATAATTATGCATACAAGGATCTGATCGTGCTGATTACCATCTGCAAAGGTTGAAATCTGAAAGCAGAAAGGGAATGATTTTAGTTCTGTTTCCTTTAAACGGTAAGTAAGTACCTGGGTAACTGTCATGGTAAATTTCTTGTCCAGCTTGTTAATCAGTTACTGAGTAAGCAGAATACTGTCCTGTTTTCTTGGCAGTTGCAGGGAAAGAAAACACAGAACATATAGAGGATAGGCCCTTTAGAAATGTTCTTCAAGTCTTCGTCTCATTGTCTTTCTCTTGGAATAAACAGCTTTACTCCTCAATTTTTTTTGTCGTGGTGCTTAGACAAGTTTATTAACAATGGAGTTAATAAATGTGAACTGTGTCAAAAGTAAATTAACGTGATACAAACCAAATAAATTCCTGGAGAAAATGAGTGGAATTGGAGGTGGGTGTATTTGTTTTAATTGCAGGGCTACTTTTTTAGTTTTTTTTTTTTAAGTATCTGAAAAAAGGATATATGGCAGCATCTTGCTTCTAAAAGCCTAAAATAACGTAAACTGCGATTCTGTATACCCTGAGTGCTAATAGATAGTGAATGTTCTGATATATTAAGAGAAAGTAAAGTTAAGGGAAGTAAGGTCCAGAGAGAAGGTTTTGGTAAGTTAGTAATAGGAATTTACAAGGCATGAACTATAAAGCATTGAAACATTTGAAGGAAGAAACAGTTTCTCCCTTTATTGGAGTTGGTACCTGTGAAAGAGAACTTACACCTTTCTACTTTATTTTATTAGAGCTTAACAGTAGGGTGATTTCTCAATAATAAAACTGAAAAAGGGAGTCATGTTTTCTCTCATAATCTGCTCAAAGGTCTGAGTGTGTTTCTTTTTGTATTTGCATGTGGTCTCTTTATTGGCAATAAACTAGTATTTTGATTTGTATCTAATTTCTGTATATATTTCTCAGTTTATAACTTGAAGGGGCGAGGAATGTGGTTGGTCCCTTCACAAATCCCAGCCCTGAGTTTTATTCAACTTAGAAAACAGTATCTATTTGACTTTTTAGATACCAACAAACAGGTTTTGTGGCTATTTGGAGAGGCAGGAGCTAAAGTTAAATAAAAACTTAAAAAGGAGCATTTTAAATTGGGTTTTATATATGTTTTCATTCTAGTGTAGCAGACTGAGTCTCCTAGTAGGGGGTTGATTTTGCCTCCCAGGAAATATTTGGGGTCTGGAGAAAGTTTTGGTTGCCACAAATTGTGAGAGGGAAGAGAAGGGTGTGGCTTACTGACATCTAGTGGGTAGAGACCAGCAATGCGGCTGAGCATCTTAAAATACACATGACAACTCCTTGAAGCAATTACGTGATCCAAATGATAGTGCCGCTATTGAGACTCTGGTACAGTTGTATACTATGCGGAAATTGTTGGTTCTGAAGTCATACTATCTGAATTTAGCATTTCTTAGTGTGTGTCTCTGGCAAGTAGTTTAAAGTCTCTGCCCCAGTTTTTGTAAAATAGCTAGTAAAGTTTGTTCATAAGAGTTGTGGTAAGGATTAAATCAGGTAATATGCAAAGTGCCAGGCTTATTACCTGGCACACAGAAAATGCTCAAAAAATTTTAATTGATACTATTACATTTGGAACACATCTTAATGATCTCTCCGTATTTCTCATCTTGGAATTGGAACTAGAACTAGTGGAATGATAATTAATAGTTCTCTTTATATCCTTTATATCTCTTTATATCCTAGTTCTCTTTATATCCTTGAGGAATGAGGGAAGAATTGCTCCTTTTAATAATTGTGTTTCGTTCAGTCTTGTTTTATGTTTCCAAGTCTATAAGGCTTCTGCCATAAACAAGCAGCTTCTCATTGTAATGTTTTTCTTTTATAGTTAAGACTAAGCCAGCTGGCCAACAGCTCTATATCTATTGACTGTCAGCAGATATTTAGTAATTGAACAGAATTTAATTCTGTGACTTGATTCCCATCTCCCTTTGCCTTTATAAACTGAAATAAATTTGCAGTGTTTTTGGCACACATTAATTATCTGTTCTAAGTCTCTGGTAGTAACTTTTCATAACTGAGGTTTTGGTACAATTTTACATGTATGAAGGATATAGCCAAACATCTAACCACTTGGGGCTAGGCCCTAATATACATTGTAACTCTTTTTCTAAATTTGAATCAGAACAACTGTTTTTGTCTTTCTTACCTCATCAAAACATAATACTATATATAGTCTCTATAGATCTTCATTTTCTCTGTGGAAGTGATATGGCTGTTTAGGGCTGGCTTATTATGGTGATGGTTGAAATACATCCCTTATAAAGAGAAAAAAATGACAGGGGTATCCTCAAAGACCAGAGACTTTGGACTGCTCGTAAGTCACAGGAGTCTTGTAAGGGAAAAAGATCCATGCTGTATTTATGATTAGGGAAAAAGCTGTGTTGCACATTCAACTTCTGTCTTTGTAACTATACCTTCAAAATAGTAAGTACTTTATTATGATTGTTATCCATATTTTTGTAGTGTTAGTCTCAACTGCTTGCATAAATGTTCACCCATTTTAGCTAAGGAACAATTTTATTCTTTATGTTGGTACCGCCTCCTTGGACAGAGTAGTTTAAAGAGAATCAGTTCCTAGGGTAAAGAAATTGTGTTCTCTGCTTGGCACATTCCATCTTCTGTAAAATGTAATATACACTCAGGGTTCTGTATAAATAATAAAATGATAATTATGAAGAAGTACAACCTTGTGGAAACTAGTCAGATCAGAAGTATACATATAAGAAATACAGTAAAAGGCCAGAGGGAGAGATTCGAAAAGTGTTGAGCAAACTGAAAAACAAAAACAAAAAACCCCAATCATTGTTAATAAGAGTTCTCATCTTTATTGATATTCTTCTGGGGTTTAATGATCTAGAAGAAAAGAGCCTATAAAATATAATGGATTTATTTTCTACTTACACATTTTTCCAATTCCTAAGCAGAGAACATTATGACTACTAAATCATTATTACAGTTGAGTTATCTTTATGGCATCTGTCCTTACCTGTGATTAAATTGAGAAAAACAAATATCTTTGAATCTACTGATGTGTGTTTATAAGTGGCCTGGAGTCCTGCCTGTCAGCCTAATTTTAGGTAGCTGACATAGTTGTTGGAAGACGGACTATTTTCCCACTGAATGCTGTCATACAGATATATATTTGTATATGTGTATTTATGCATATTTGTCTTTTATTTTTGGTAGAAAATGATGCATCCTGTTGCCAGCAGTAATCCGGCTTTCTGTGGGCCTGGCAAGCCTTCCTGTCTCAATGAAGATGCCATGAGAGCTGCTGATCAGTTTGACATATATTCCTCCCAGCAAAGCAAATATAGCCACACAGTCAGCCATAAACCAATGGCTTGTCAGAGGCAAGACCCATTAAATGAAACCCACTTGCAGACTACAAGTGGCAGAAGCATAGAGATAAAAGATGAACTAAAGAAAAAGAAAAATCTCAACCGATCTGGTAAGCGTGGCCGGCCTTCGGGAACCACCAAATCAGCAGGATACCGGACCAGCACAGGCAGACCTCTGGGAACCACCAAAGCAGCTGGATTTAAGACAAGTCCAGGGAGACCTTTGGGTACAACTAAAGCTGCGGGATACAAAGTCAGCCCAGGGAGACCTCCAGGTAGCATTAAAGCCCTGTCCCGTCTTGCTGATCTTGGTTATGGCTGTGGCACTGCTGCTTTTCCTTACCCGATGATGCATGGCAGAGTAGTTCATGGGGTAGAGGAAACCAGCAGCGAAGTCAAGCCACCCAGTGAGTGAATGAGGCAGGAAAGGAGGCCAGGTTTAGAAGGAAAATTGTGAATAATCCCAAAGCTTCTTGGTTTTATTTTGACATACATGATTTTATGACCTGGGCTTTTGTCCATACCTGTGATTAAATTTGTTTCCCATTTTTTTTCCTGCCTTTTCTCAGAAACTGCCATATGCTGACAGATGCACTCAGGGCATGAGCAGTGGCACTGTATTTGTACATAGGTTTAAGTGTAACACCTAACAAAATAATTTTGGCTTTTTCTTGAGAGTTATGGTTGTGTCTTACATTTTATTACTATTTTGGGGCTATTCTAAATAGATGCTTTATGTACTAAACAACTGAAACTATTTTAACCTATTAGTTTGTGAAGTGAGCTACAATATAATAAAAGACAATATCTAAGGTATTTTTAACTGATGGAACAAAGCAAACTGATGATTCAGGATTACTTGAGGTAATGGCTGTGAGTCATTGTAACATTTATTTTCATGAGGCAGGACACAGATATTTGTATGCTTTGGAGTTTATGTAGACTTCAGATGTTAAAAATCTTACTTTGAATGTCCTAGGTTTAAGCAGCCTATTTATTGATCTATATGGCAGTAATTGATTTAACCATTATTCCTAAAAGAATTCTTTAGTGTTTGCCTTTCAGCAGTGATATGTTGTGTATTTTTTAATTGCCTAAGGGCATATGTACCAAACACTACAAACAATTCGTATTTACAAAAAAAATGAAACTTTTTAATTAAAAAACTGCACATTACAATTTTGCAAATTTACAGCACTCTGAGAATAGCACATTTAATATAGAAAAAGAAACATCCTTAAGGTCTGCATGTAGCTATAGTCACATTTTGCCCTTCATATGCTTAGTTTTAAAGCATTAGGCTTAAAATGTTTATTAATGTTCATTTATTCTGAATGTTTTTTAGTTTTTTCTGAGAAATTGTCTCATTGCCCTAACAGTTACTGTGGTTTCAGGTTTATATCTACCAAAGGACATAAACTGAATGGTAGACTGTAAAACTGGTATAAACAAAATCTACAGTTTTCTGACTGTCAGAACCCAAATATTAAGAAATATACAGGAATCTATCTATTCATGAAACATGTAAAAAATATGTTACTTAGTTTAATTAAAAATCTAATTGTGGCTCCAGTGAGACCACTTCATCCAAAAGAAAATTTTTTCTAACAGTGTTTGCTTTAGAAGCAAAATAGAAAAGAAAAAAGTAGTATTGGCTAGATATGTATTGTAGGGACAGAAGGAAATCTTTCTTCCTCCCTTTCTGAAAGTAATATTCTTTGTTAATACACATTTTATTTATTCTGAGTTTGTTCTAAATAAAATAAACTTTGGATTTGAAAAAATTTCCATTGAACTTTAAAGTTATAATGTATGTATTTGCAATTTTAAATGCCTTTGAGATTATAATGTAGATTTGCAGGACCCCAAAATTTTAAAAATAATTACAAGTTTAAAAGGGCACATATTTTATTGTTGGGCTTGCTCTCAGTTAATGCAAACTCTGATTGCAAATGGATGTCATGTTTCATACTTTTCATCAGGAAAAAAGCAGCAAGCCTTCAGATGTTCCAGTGATGCCTGACACAATGAGCTGGACTTTATGCAGCTCTTTACAGTAAGAGGTGTTGCATTGTATGTGGGGACTGTGTGTGCACTGGCATCTAAGACAGTGACCTCAACAATTTTAGCTTTGCACAAACCATAGAAAACAATGTACGATGACTACATAATCAGTTGTAACATGCTGGCAGCTGAATTGCTATGAGTTTCTTCTTGCAGAAGCTTAAAATTTTAAACTTGTAATAATTTACTCAGAACAGTATAACTTCTGACATACACAAATACTTACATCTTTATTCATACATTCATCTTTTTACTTTGTTATGTATCTGTCATTTAACTGTTTCTCAAGATGATGTTTAGCAGTTAGATGCTTAGAAATCCTTTTGAGTTCCTGAAAACAATTGTTTAATTAAATGTTTTACCATAGAATAATATATATACCACTGTCAAAGTTTTGGTTGCATATTGTGTTTTATACTACCATATTTCTTTTTCAGTTTATTTTCATTCCTTGTTGCCCTTTCTTCATGCCCTTTCTTCTATTCATTCCCCTCCCCATTTCCTCATCCTTCAGCACATCTACTCAGTGGTGCTGTGCTGTGTGTCAGAAGATAAAGCAGGTGTGTTATTGTATAATGAATTTTGTATACATGTTAATGAAATGGTAAAATCAATTAAAGGAAGTATGTTCATAACAGTGTTTATTAATATCAGGAGCTGTGTCCCAGGAAAAAAAGGGGGCAAATGGCTACAGTTGTGAATGGATAACATTGTTAAGAAAGCTGAATTTTCTGTTCATGTGAGCAGTTACCTGGAGTATTAGATCTGTGTGCTGGTGAACATCTCCTGATTCCACTTACTTTTCTTCTTGTGAACAGTTCATTGGTGCCATGCTGAAGAGAAAGACATCTAAGTGATAAAATGAATGAAGTCTTAAAATATAAAATATTTTTACTTCTCTATAATCTAAATACTCCACTGTACATCTTTTGTAACACTGTCTCTTACCACAAACACTGAAATAGCATGTTAAACAGTTACCTATACTTTATAATATAATTAGTTGGGGAAAACTGGCCTTTTCCTCCCGCTGTATGATTGTTCCTTGAAAGGTAAATTGCTAATTTTATATTGTGTAATTATGTTCTTCACAAAATAGGTTTCAGTATTCTCTGTTAAAACTGTTGGTCAGAAAATGATCTGCTATTCTGCTATTCAAGTAAGTTTGCTTTACTTTAAAAAAAAATTTTTTTAACATGCCTTATTTATTATTATCATATTAACAAATAAGGAGCTAATACAGATGAAATTTTCATTTTTGACAAATATAACCTAGGATAACTAATCTTTAGTATGGGATGATTTTGATACTATCTTTGGAGTTTTGCACTGGATATTTAAAAAAACTGGCACAATATATTAGAAGAAAATAAGTGATTAATTTTTAGTATTTGGGGACATTTTTAAAATCAGTATTTCAATTAGACTAAAAAAATCTTTGTTACTTTTATTTATTTTAAAGGAAGCATCTGTTAAAGTAATATTCATCTCAAACTGATTGATGTTTGTGTGAATTTACATGTATATTTTCATGAAAAATAAATAGAGTTCCTTGGGTTAAGGAGGAAAAAAATTATCTGGATCCATTTATTAGGTTAAAAGTGATCTAGCCAGGGTAAAAAAACAGTGTATGAGCTAAAGAAAAAAGAAAACTATATTCTAAGAAGCTTTAAAAGAATACTTCAGGGGATATTGACGATAACTGCTATTCTGTCAGTCATTGTCTCTATATGCAGTAAAGTTTTATGATCCCTTTATAGTAAAATAAAAGAATTCACAACAGTTGTTCAAAACGTTTTTTTCCCTTGGACATAAAATACTTCGATGCTATTATGTTTTCATTTTTATTATAGGTTAACTATATGCTATTAAACTCTAGGATGTATCTAAATCTTTCCTTTGCTTTTTCCCCCTCCTCTCCCTAAGTAGATAAATCAGTGCTCTCACATATAATGTATTTAACTTTTGAAAAATTTAATGCTATAGTAAATCAAGTGTGTGATTTATAGTAATCAGACCACTTTGATTCTTTAAGTTTTACAGTTTCCTTTTTCTACAGATAATTACAGAGAAAATAATTACCAAGTAACTGAATAAGAACTTGTCCTCTGCTGTAAAAAGTCTGAATAGATACTGTGTATGTTTTTATGTCCATGAACTTGAGCTACTCATGTGCAATTATGTGTATGGGAATGGAGTAGTGTTCATGATTTGTATCTACATCATCATATGGATGTATATTTATTAATAAAGTAATTACTTTAAAAGCAACTATGTTTACTACTTTATTTCTTAGAGTATTTTTCTAGTAGGGGAAGAGTAAATGGGAAACTTTTCATGACAGTGCATGATGGTGGATCTTATATATTTCTTAGGTTGTACTTTCTGAAATCTGTCCCTCTGTACTCTTGTTTTTCTCAAACTTGTAATATTTATATATTTGTAATTTAAGATTCTAACCTATAAATGGATCTCATTTTCTTTGTATTTTCTTCCCATTATAGTTCTAAAGGGTTATATTTAAATTATATATCATTGACCCTTAGTTTAAAAAATCCAGATACTAAACATGTCTTTTTTTGGAAGAGTAGCATGTTTTGTGACTCAAATATTGGAGATAAAACAAGAAAAATACTTTTCTATAATTATTTGAATGTATAATTACCTTTTCTATTTACTTTGAAGCCTGCAGATCATCTAGAACAGAGGTTTGCAAACTTATGGCCCACTGCCCATTTTTCTAAATGAAGTTTTATTTAGAATAGCCATTCCCATTTGTTTACAGATTGTCTTTTGTGCTACAATGGCGGAGTTGACTTGTGACACAAGGGGCCTGTAAAGCCTAAAATGCTTACGAATCATTCCTATCCTTGACAGAAAAAGTTTGCTCTCCTCTAAAAGGATAAATTGGAGTAGGAAAACAGCAAGTAAAATTTGAAGTTGAATTTTAAAACCTGAGCAAGTCATGGCTTTTTCCTTTTCCTTTTTTTTTTCTTCTTTCTCTTACTCGTTTGTTTTTGCATTTGGATTGTGTTAAATATTCTTCATATTACACTTAAAAGCCATTTTGTGTGCACTTTTGCTTGAATTGCTGAAGTCCTTTCATGTGTCTGTCGGAATGTGTTGCTGGCCACACACACTATTCCTGATCGAGGAAAAGACCTACATCATACCTCTGGATCATTCGCTGTGGCTCAAAGGGTTACTTATTGTTCACTATGTTTTCGCCATACTTTCTATAGTTCTTTATATAGAGTTTTATAATAAAAACTTAATTGTTCATCATAATTATATTTGCCAAAATTCTCATTCTCTGGCAATTGTCAGAGAGGAAGAAGAGCATCCTATTCAGTTAAAGCTGGTCAATTGAAGACTTGTAGGTTTGAAGAGAAGGCAATCGTCATTTACCACCTAAGATTTATGCCTTGAATACTAATAACACACTTGTGTTTTTGATCCCAACAGTTACTGTGGGTGTGAGAATCATGAACAACCATTTACCAAATATCAATCAGTTGTCATTTGGTAGTTTTATAACCACATAGAATCATGAATTTGGATACAAATGTTTTTATTTTACTGAGTATGAACAATTGGTATATCTTTAATTATTTGAAGATGTGTCTGTCCTATTTCATGGTGAATTTTTTGATGAATTCAAAAACTATTCTTATGAATTATTTGATGCAACAGGTCATTCAGTTTCTAAACTATTAAATTGATGCAAGTAGAAATCTTGTATTTGAAATAGTTCAATTAAAAAACCACTTTATTAATACACAGATTTGTTCTAAGATTCCATTTCCATGTAATTATAGCACACTATTGAAAAATAGAAATTGTTTATTTTAAGCATAACTCCCTAAAATCTGATTCATGAGGGAAGTTTTATATAAAATGTCTTTCCATTTCTTATGAAAAGAATATTCAGTTTAATTTGTAAGACTAAAACTGCTAGGTCATTTATTAAGGGCCCACAGTAATAATAACAACATGATTAATAGTAATAGGTGACAAATACTAAGCAGAATAAATTGCCTGGGGGACACAAGGAAATTGGAGAAACTCTACAGGAATTGGAGAAGGTGGGCATCATAAAGCCCACTCATAGTCTTTTTAATTCCCAGTGTGGCCAGTGAGAAAGCCAGATGGCTCCTGGCATATGACTGTGGACTACAGGGGATTGAATAAAGTCACACCCCATTTGCATGCTGCCTTCCCCTCTATAGCAGACATTCTGGACACCCTCAGCCATGAACTGGGAATGTATCAGTATGTAGTAGACCTTGCTAATGCTTTCTTCTCTATTGACATGGCACAGGAAAGCCAGGAACAGTTTGCCTTCACGTGGGAAGGCCAGCAGTGGACATTCACTGTCCTTCCACAGGCATTATCTCCACAGTCCCACCATCTATCATGGACTTACAGCCCAGGACTTGGCTACATGGAAGAAACCGCAAACTGTATGGTTGTATCACTACAGTGATGATACTATGCTCACATCTGATTCTCTTTCAGATTTAGAAGGGGCAGTTCCTAGACTGTTCACAACACCTACAGGAAAAATGATGGGCTGTGAACAGCACCAAGGTTCAGGGACCGCGGTTTGTCTATAAAATTCTTGTGGGCTGTCTGGTCAAGTAAAGCTAAAGTTATTCCTGAAGCAGTAGTCATAGAGAAGGTTCAGGCTTCCCCACCCCTACCACTGTGGCAATCTTACCCTACCCAGAAGAGGTTTTTGGGTCTTTTGGGCTCGTGGAGAGTGTTTATCCTGCACTTGGCACAAATTCTGAAGTCCTTACACCGGTTGGTACAAAAGGGCATCATGTGGGACTGGGATGAGACATGGGCAGCCGCTTTTACTGCTGCCAAGTGGGCAGTCAAGGCCATGGAGGCCTTGAATGTAATGGACTCATCAAGGCCCTGTGAGTCACATGTTTGTGTAACCGAAGATGGTTATGGTTGGGGTCTTTGGCAGTGCCTTGAACGGACACGCCAACTTACTGGATTCTGGTCACAACTATGGAAAGGAGCAGAGGTGTCCGGTACACCTTGATAGAGAAGCAACTGGCTGCTGTGTACCATGCCTTGCTGGCTATGGAGCTCATTGCCAGAACAGGTCTGACCAAGGTAATGAATACCTACCCTATCACTGGGTGGATGCGAGACTGGACCCAAAGGCCACGGCATGGCCTGGCACAGACACCTACACTGGCCAAATGGAGTGCATATTTATAGAAGCGCAGCACCCTCTCTACTGGCTACTTAAGTGGAGAACTCCAATGCTTATTGGGGCCAGTGACCTATACCAGTGGAAAGCAGGAAGAACTTGCTTTTGAGCCATTGGTAGCTGAGAGTCGTTATCAGAAGGGAAAAGCCCCTATGCCTGAAGATGGTTGATATACAGAAGGCTCCAGTCGTGGGCAGCCCCCGAAGTGGAGGGCTTGTGGCTTTCCATCCTAAGACTGAGGTAATATGGATGGAGGATGGAGAGGGGAAGAGCAGCCAGTGGGATGAGTTGTGGGCAGTATGGCTTGTGACCACCCAGGAGCCTTTCCCCATAGTTGTCTGCATTGACAGCTGGGCTGTCTTATCGGGGCTTGACCCTGTGGCTACCAACATGGTACCATTCCAACTGGATGGTTGGTCACTGGCTCCTTTGGGGGCAAGAGTTGTGGCAAGACTTATGGTCCTCTGGTCAGACTAAGACTGTTACTGTATATCATGTGACTGGCCATTTGCCTTTGGCATCCCCAGGGAATGATGAAGCAGACACATTGGCCTAGGTGCGTTGGCTAGAAGGAAAGCCTGCCTCTGATGTAGCCCAACGTTACATCAGCATTTGTTGAACGCAGGGCAAAAGACAATGTGGGCTTCAGCCAGTCAGTGGGGCTTGACATTGACCTTTGAAGAAGTCACTAGTACCCAGAAGGAGTGTCTTGTGTGCTCTCAGAGGGACTTACACCAAGTCCTACAGCAACATGGGACAATAGTAAGGGGGCCAATACCCCTTGTCAGGTGGCAGAAAGACTATATTGGTCCTCTGCCCCTATCAGAAGGATATCGGTATGTCACAACTTGTGTGGACACGGCTACTGGGTTAGAGGTTGCTTTTCCTGCATGTTGTACAGATCAGCAAACCACCAAGAGAGGCCTAGAGTGTCTCTTTGCAGCTTGTGGCTGGCCACAGGTGATTGAGAGAGATCAAGGCTCCCTCTTTAGTGGACATGTGTTACAAGAATGGGTGCAGCAATTAGGAATAAAGTGGAAATTTTGTGTACAATATAACCCTACCAGGGTAGGCATGATAGGTACAGTGGTTTGTTGAAATCTAGTCTGAAGTCGGACACCAGTAGTCTACGGTGCTGGTCAGTTTGCCTATGGACAGTGCTACAGCATTTGAATGAGAAGCCACATAAAGGAGCCTTGAGCCCTGCGGATGTGCTCACACGCCTTGCTGCCTCTCCTGTACAACTGTATGTGCAACCAAAGAAGAGCTATTGAAGCCAGGATACGGCCAGCAGAGCAACTTCTTGCTGCCAGCCCCAACTGCATTAAGCCCTGGAGACACTGTTGAATAGACGTGGCCCTGGACATTTTGACACATGGACCAGCAATGGCTGGCCCTTCTGGCACCTTGAGGGAAAGACCTAGAAGCTGGCCTCGTGTGTATGCCTAGAGTAACAGCAGAATGGCCCCCAAAGATCCTGGTAGTGTACCCAAAACGTCCAGGAGGTAAGAGCATCTTACAGGGAAGTTCTGTTTTATCTTCATGGCCAGTGCATGTACCTCCCATAACTCTATATATTGGCCCATCTGTAACTCCCACAGGGAGGGGGGTGAAAGTCTGGTGTACCAGACCAGGACGAGATCCCATTCCTGCCACTTTTCTATCACAGGACTGCTCTCTGGCATGTATCCTACTGATGGACAAGATTTGCCTATGCTGGTGTCATTAAAACATGTATCTTGTCCGTAAGGTTATTTTCTTTTACAGTCCTTGAGGCCTGGATGCGCCCCCTGGCTGCAGCTGCCGCCTGATGATTGCTCTGAACTCTTCAGCAGCTGCCTGCTGGAATGCACGAGCTTTGGACTTAATCTGCATAAGAATTTGAACCTAGCTGAATCCTCTGGCTTGAAGATTATCATGATTTTATTGCTGTTGCTATTGTGTGTCATTAGTCTGGTCACAGTGCTTCAGTTTTCTTGCCAAGGAAGGGGGGGAATAAGTAGATTATAAGATGAGATTTCTGAAGGGGTGGTCTGTGGGT